GCCCCGTAAACACCCACGGCCACCCATTCACTCCCACAGCTGCCCCGTACACACCCACGGCCACCCCATACACACCCACAGCTGCCCCCTACACACCCACAGCCACCCATTCACTCCCACAGCTGCCCTGTACACACCCATGGCCACCCTGTACACACCCACAGCCACCCTGTTCACTCCTATAGCCACCACCTGCACGCCCACAGTCACCCCATACACGCCCACGGCCACCATGTACACGCCCACCGCCACCCCACACCCACAGCCACTCTGTACAAGCCATAGTCCTATTGCACCCTCTGCCTTCATCCTGTGCCCCTTCCCACACCCCTCCCTGTGCCCTGCACACACCCTGTGCCTGCTCCCCCTCCCTGCACCCCCCCGCTCCCTGCACACACCCCGTGCCTGCTCCCCCTCCCTGCACCCCTGCACACTCTGCCCACTTTTCGACTACACCCCGCCACACTCCTTGTGCCTCCATGTACACCCACGTGCACTCTGCATACCCTTCACACACCGTGTGTTGCTCACACTTGATCACACTGCTCTGTGGACCCACACACAGACTGGGATATCCCAGGGAGGTTACCCCAAAGTTGGGCACACCCAAGGTGAGGGTATCTGGGAGCCCCACTACCAGAAGAGGTGCGAGAAGGGCGTCCCCGTGCTCTGGGGTTACTCCCAGGATGCCACAGTGACTGGCGGAGCTCAGACAGGTCAGGGGTCTTCTTGTGAAACCTGCCTCCCTGGGTCCCTCCCTCGGAAGACAGATAGGAGTGGACCACGTCAGCTCAAATGGGGCCCTCTCTGGGACTTCCAGGGCGAGGAGGGCATGAGACCGGCAGGGACAAACTCAGACCCTCAAGACCAGGGGTTCTGGGCAGAACCAGGGGCACCCAGCTGGGCGTGGGTGCAGAGGAAATGAGGGGAACCCACGTAAAGCGAGGTGTCTGTGAAGACGGGAAGGGCGCTGGGAGGGGGGTCCAGATGGGAGGCGAGGAGGGATTGGGGGACTGGGCAGGGTGCCTGGGTGAGAGTCCCAGGGATGGGAGGAGCCTTAGGGTGGGAAGAGAGTCAGGGGTGTGGGCGCATGCCCAGGGAGGGGAAGAAGAGGGGTTGGGATCTCAAGGTGGGCAAGATTTCCACCCGCACTGTCTCCCCACTCCGGCTTTTCCAGAATGGGCACGGTGTGTAACACGCATCGGGCCTAGGAGGCGGCAGCACCCGGGGAAGCAGAGGTCGCGGGTAGACCCAGCGCCTGGAGCCTGCTCTCGGCCCCGCCCACCCGATACGCCCCGCCCACATGGTTAATTCAGGCCCCGCCCACCCCGTCACCCTACCCCGACCCGCACTGTCTCCCCACTCCGGCTTTTCCAGAATGGGCACGGTGTGTAACACGCATCGGGCCTAGGAGGCGGCAGCACCCGGGGAAGCAGAGGTCGCGGGTAGACCCAGCGCCTGGAGCCTGCTCTCGGCCCCGCCCACCCGATACGCCCCGCCCACATGGTTAATTCAGGCCCCGCCCACCCCGTCACCCTACCCCGCCCGCTCAAGGCCCATTCTCCCCAGGACTCGCCCCGCCCACCCGCTCGCGGCCC